AGAATACAGACAGACAGATACTTGATTTAGTGATTTACTCGTGTGTTTACTTTTGTATAATGAAATCCTTTTGAAGCTCCTCAAGAAATAACGCTTGTAGTAGGTATTTCCATTTTTACAGCACTACTTTTTTTCAAAGAAAATATTTGGCACTTACGGAAGTACCTGTGAGTTGTGATTATACCAGCTTGAAGCACTGCATTGACAGGGCATAAAAGTAAAAAGATGTAGCTAGTCACCTTTCCCAAGACTTTCTCACAGGAAAAAGACAATACAAACAAAAAATGCAAAGCCACATTCATTATTACCAATATATTACTATCTTGAGCCATCTAAACAAACAGGAAAAGGTGGGTGGGGAGAGACAATTTGCATAGCCCATGTTCCTTAATTTAGTTTAGCAAACCACTTTGATGTGTATATCTTTGGCTCCTGGCACACAAACAAGGGCTATAAGTTCATGACRCCCTGTAACTTATGCCCAAGTGGTTCAGGAAGTTCATTGCTTTCAGTAACTCTCTTTGCTCTTTATAAAGATTTGTTGCTAACAAATGCACTGGTAACCACTGTTCTCAGTAGAGTAACCACTTCTAATCAGCAGAGAGATCAATTACCTTGTTAAACCAGCAAAGGAAAAAATGAGTCCTGGGCTGACTAGTGGAGATAGCACATGCTCAGTCTCTAAATTTCGCCTACTCTCCCACACTGGCCAACTGTAAGAAACACAGCACAAATTTTCTTTCACTTGGACATTYATCTGTTAATTCCTTCTAACATATGCCACTACTGAAAAGCCCTGTTGGGTCATGTCTTCCACACCTGTGCCGAGTAATTATACATCAAGCTACTTTATCTCACTGAACAGTAGCTTCCCCACATAGAGAAGATCACTGAAATAGGAGGACACTTGGTAAGCTCTGGGGAATGCCTGGGTGGTGTCTGGAACCAGCTGAAGGGAAYTGTGACCATTTTGGGAAGCTTGTGCCTGGTACTCAACAAACTGAACCAACTGGAAGTAAAGCTCTGTCTTCTGCTTCTCTAATCTTGATTTTGATTGAACAAACAAGGTCATTTTCACCCACTTACATAYTCTGAGGATCTTATGTTTAACTTCATAGCTAACCTTGTGCCCACTGTACACTTTCCCCCACCAAATCATTTAAGAATAACAAGTCTCTCAGGAAAGCATACCAAAAATGGAATTCCTAGTCCAAAAAAAGAAAAAAAAATCTTCTACATTTCCATCCCACACACTGAAACAAACAAACAAACAAACAATTCATCTAACAAAGGGTTCTAGAGTGGGGAAGATGCCATGGAATTAGAGAATTAGAGTGTAGATGGATTTCTATTAGTTGCCCACCTGAAACACACTTATCAGTTTCTTCTATTTTTTTTTTTCCCTAGAGTCAGAAAATAAAACCAGCAGCAGTTGCCCAGCCTCTGGGCTGGTACCTCCTGCACCACTGTCCCCTCTTCTCTGCCAAGTACCAGGTGTCCCAGGACAGGTCACATTGAAGGAAGATGTGAGTGGGTCGAAAGTGAGAGCAGCAAGAAAATCATGGCATATGCTCTGACTATGCTTCTCAAGACAGGCCATTTCTTCCAGAGTATCATCCTGATATAAATTTTCTTATCAAGTAACCCTAGCAGATTTCCTGAACTGGTTTATCCTGATAGGCTTTGCGTTAACGTGGAAGGGAACACAAAGAAACTTGCTTCCACAGTGACAATGGAAGAAACAAGTCACAGAGAATTATAGATTATATTCTCTGAGTTGCAAAAAAAAAGACTTAGTGATCCAAGTCCTCCTGAAATTCACTGCGCTGCATATCCACCTCCTGTGATGCATCCTTCGAACTACAGGCATTCAACTGACTTTAACATTGCCATCAAATACCTGGAAAAACACCATCTTGAATTCTGCTTTTGATTTTCCTTTCCGTTCTGCCACATGCTGCAGATGTTCCAGTCAGAAAGGAACAAGCAGGGCAGCCTCCAGGCTTAATTCCTGTATGACCTTCCAATTGAAAATGTTAGCACCCAGCTGAGGATCCATCTTTTTCCTTCTTTCCCATCGTCGTGTTTGATATTTCTCAGCKATTCCTCCTAGATGGGCACAGCAGTCACATTCTGCTTTCAATGATATTCAGATTCTTCACTGAGGAGTGACTCAGTGAACGCCTCTGCTTTCATCCCCTCCCCTGGCCATCTCCTCTGTTCTCCTGATACGCAGTGCCCCACTTTCTTACTATTTGACTGAAGAACCAATTCAGGTTAGCAGAAGTCTTTGAAGAATGCCATTGAAAAGACTGCTTTAAATAATTGTGGTTCACATTAGGAGTAGCAAACAGACAAGATTCACAGTTTCCTAGTAGCTCTACAGTGATGGATTCATGCTTTGTCCTGCCTTCCCTTTGCTGCTTGTCATCAGTCTTCAAGCCATTTCCTGGAAAGCAACCAGCTGATTGTATTCCCATTTTGCTGTAAAATGCTGTGGCCATAAACCATCCAACAATACAAAACTTGTCTCTTCTCACACTACCCTGTTGAACTTTATCTTGATCACAGTGCAAGCCCTGATGAAGAAAGTCCCATCCTGCTTTTTGGTTTTTGGGTTTTTTTTTTTTTTTCAGATGGACTATAAATACCTGAAGATATGTTTTGTATAAGTGTGTCATAGAGGTTGCAACAGGCCTACTGTTTTTTCTGGCAGTCTCATGTCAATCCTTCATAACTCACTTCAGGATGTGGTACCAGCTTCCAGCACCGGAAAATTCAAAATAGGAATGAGCATTTGCAGCATTATGATATGAYGTATGCTTGGCTTTAGATAGGAGCTCAGACTCAAGGCAGTGGAGAGCAAAAGGCATACCAGTCTCACCATGGATATGTGACATTAAACAAGCCACTTGTCATGATACACAGTTGAGTAATTGCCACATGGAACAGGACCTTCTTATTATTCACTATTTTATCCTATGAAACCTACACAACCACCAGAAGAAAAATCTTCAGAAAAGTCATGCTTTGTCACCATCACTRGCCAGGCAAGAGGCCCTGCTTCAAAAGTACTTTACAGAAGTGCACCTACTCATGCGCATTAGAGGACCAGAATGTGGCATCATGATACGCAACCTACTCAGTCCCTGCAAGAAACCTAGCAAACCTAGCTGCAGAATGAGGTCATTTCTGCAAGGTAACATTAATACTCCTGAGCCTTCCTGTTCTCCCAGCACTGCAATTCCCTCCTTTCCACTCTGCAAAGCTGTGCTTTCCGCAGTGCATTTTTCTGGTGCCTTGTGTGTCCCCACCCTCTGCTGCCTGCCCACAAAGCTGTGGTCGGATTGCAGCAGCYGCACAGGGAATTACCCTCTGCCACACCTTGCAGCACCTGGCTATCCAGCCCGGCCTCATGGGAAGCCGGGGCAGGAGACAGGCAGAGCAAGCTCCCCTTCCAGCTGGAGTTAACCCTCCTTTGGGCTTCACCCTTGCATTTCGCTGTAGCCCCGTAAGGGCCTGGTCCATCCACAGGAGGCCAAAGAGGACAGCCAGGTGGACAACCTTGCTTCTGACAGCATGTTTGCCCTTGCCTGCGTGTCCTCCTGAAAGCTGGTGCTCCTGCCATTTCCTCGTGTCCTTGGGCAGCTCGCAGAGGAGCAGATGCTCCAGCTCAGCCTGCACAGTGGCTGCTGTGATCTCAGATGAGGCGCTCAAATATCTTGGGCTCCTGGCGGGCAGCATGCCTAGAGCCACCCCCCTCCACACAAAAGCAGCCCCATCTCGGATGCAGAGAGGATGGGAGCCGCATGAAGACACCACAGAAAACAGGGCACCAGCCAGGTCTTCCCTGCAGCTGGCCTCCCCTTCCCCCTCGGCGCGCGCACGCTGCTCCTGCACAGCCGCCCTTCGGAGAGGAGCTGGCGGGTTTGGAGCAGGAGGGGCGTTTTGCAAGCGCTGGGGCACCCGTCTCAGGGGATTTTGTGCGCTCTTGTCCCTGCTGAGGCTGAGCAAGGCAAGTCGCCACCGCTGCCCTGCGAGGCCCGGCACTGCCTGCAACAAATAGGTGATAGGGGACGTGCCAGATGGGAGCAGAGCGCTCACAAAGCAGGTCCCTGTGTTCTGCATTTTCTTTTCTTTTTTTTTGTTTCTTTGCCCTTCCGAGAAAAAACATCATAACAATATGAATAGCGCACACCAAAGTGACCAGCCGGCTCAGCACCCACTTTGCCCACTTTGTAAATTGGGGGGCTTGGGGAGCAAGCCCAGGAAGGGAGCGGAGGGGGGAACTATGCGGGTACCCCTTTCTCCTTGACCTCTAGCATGAGGGGCAGCAGCAGCACCCACGTCTGTGGAAAAAGGTGGATCTCGGATCCCGCCACGGGGACAGAGCCAGCCCCCCTGGGGGTCTGCGTGGGCAGCCCACGTGGGGACCGCGGCGGGGGCAGCAGTGGCGGGGCGGGAGCCTGCAGGGCGGGGAGGAGGCGCCTCCCGCGGCAGCGCGGCCCGAGCGCGCAGCCCCACGCGTGTCCGCGCCTCGCAGCGCCCCCCGCGTGGGCGCCGGGCGGGACGAGTGGAGTCGGGCGAGGAGCGAGAGCGCAGGCGGCCACGTGGGGCCGTGGGTGCGCGGGGGCTCTGGGGGCCTCGCCGGGTCCCGCGGGGGCTGCGCTGCCCGCCCTGCCCACGGCGCGCGGCGCTGCCGCGGGTGGGCGGCGCGGGCCGCCCCGGGCACGGCTCTCAGCAAACACGCGTGTGGCTCGGCCGGAGAGAACAGGATTCCTTGGATGCCTTCCAGGTCCGCCTGGCCTTTTCTGCCTGTCTCCCTGTGTGCGTGCGCGCGCGCTGCCTCCTTTTTTTTTTTTTTTTTTTTTTTTTTCCTCCTCTCTTCCTCCTCTCGCTTGCTCCAGGTTTTACTTCTGGTTGCCTGTAAGGGTTTTGCTCCTCCCTTCTGAAATCCTATATTAGCCGTGGCCAAAGCCGGGTAAGAAACACAGCTCATTGTTGGCAAGTGCCGATGAGCCTCGCGGAGGAGCGAACCGCGGCGCGGGGTCTGCGGCAGCGGGAGCRGTAACGTCCCCGCCACGGCAGCGCGGAGCAGGGAAGCCCTCTCTATGCGGGGGGACTTTTACTGACTGATTCCAGCGACACCTTTGAAGCGAAGGAAGAAAGAAGCGGGGAGGTGAGTGCGGAGGCTCTGGGGCTGGTGTTGTGTGTCCCTTTTGTGTGCAACAGGGAAATGTGACTGCTTAAATACACGTGTGTGTGGTGGGGGGAAGGCAATCCTCAGCTGTGCGGCTTTCTCTTCCTATTTGTGCCGTGCTAAATRCATGTATATATTATATATATAAATATATTTAAATATCTTCTGACTTAATTGCAAAAGTTGCCGGCAGGGGCTAGGTGGGACGTGTTTAATTCTTTGCCGGTTCTCTGCAAGTTGCGGGGAGTGTCTTTTAAAAATGTTCCCTCTCCCGGCAAATCCAGGGGGCTCGGGAACCTTTGGAGCGCGCTGGGGGGCGGCGGCTGTTGCTGGATGCGACGCTGGCCGCTGATAGGTATGCCCAAGTTGGAGTGGGAAGGCGTGTTGCTCGCTGGATTTGCGGAGGAGACCGAGATTTATTTTTTGTACGGCAGCCTCCTCTTTATTTTTTTCCCTTTGTACTCTACGGTACGGAAGAGTCGTGGTAGGAGGGTTTTTCTGCCTTTGAAAGAGAGGACGGTGGGACCGGCGAAGTCGTTTCTCGGAGGGACAGACACACGCAGCGAGTTCCGAAGAGGGAGATTTGGCGTTGGACGTCTTTTTATTTTATTTTTTAAATATATTCCCATGCTAACTTYCTAGGTGGGAAATGGCAGACCACATGATGGCCATGAATCACGGGCGATTCCCTGACGGATCCAGCGGGCTCCACCACCACCCTGCCCATCGGATGGGGATGGGTGCCTTCCCTACCCCCCACCACCACCACCAGCAACAGCAGCAGCAGCAGCAGCAGCACGCCTTCAACGCCCTCATGGGCGACCACATACACTACGGAGCTGGGAATATGAACGCGAGCAGCGGCATCAGACACGCCATGGGGCCCGGCGGCGTGGGCGCAGGGCACCCCGCTGGCACCATGCCGCCCGCCGCGCGGTTTAGCGGCTCCCAGTTCATGGCCCCCGCCGTGGCCAGCCAAGGCGGGCAGCTCACGGCCAGCATGCAGCTCCAGAAGCTCAACAACCAGTACTTCAGCCACCACCCCTACCCGCACGGCCACTACATGCCGGACTTGCACCCRGCGAGCCACCCGCTCACGGGCAGCGGGCAGCACTTCAGGGACTGCAGGGACCCCAAGCACGGCGGCGGCGGCGGCGGGGGCAGCGGGCCGCCCGCCGGCCCCCACGGCCCCGCTGCGATGCTGCCCCCCAATGTCATAGACACTGACTTCATCGACGAGGAGGTGCTCATGTCCTTAGTCATCGAAATGGGCCTGGACCGCATCAAGGAGCTGCCCGAGCTGTGGTTGGGACAGAACGAGTTTGACTTCATGACAGACTTCGTTTGCAAACAGCAGCCCAGCAGGGTGAGCTGCTGATTCCCTGGAAGCAAACAAAGGACTTTCCCTCGGTGTGAATGGAGGCATTCCCACAGACACAGTGTCTCACCTTCCGGGGCTCGGAAAGGTGAGAATCTGGAAAGCAGAGTAAACTATGCGCCGCTTGTATAAATTTTGGGTTTAATTGCTGCCACTCTTTTTTTTTTTTTTTTTGGTGTAGCTCTTTGACATTCACCTCCCCTCCCGTAGGAATCATTTCTAGCAAACTCTGCCTTTTTATGTTGTCCTCCCTCTCCCCTTCTCTCTAATTTCCTTGCAGTAACATGCCCATAATTTCCACAGTGCTGAACTGTTAGATATTAATCTTGGCAAATCGCTTAATCTCGTGGATTTTGTAAATGATGATTTCCAATGACTTGAACTGCATTCAAATTTTGAGTGAACAGGGGAAAAAAAAAATTGCATTAGTTGGTTGCATGAACTTTGAAGGGCAGATACTACTGCACAAATGCTGCCATCTTGCTTAATTTTTAACTATGCATTGCAGTGCAGACTAATAAATATATTTTTTTTTGAATATGCTAAACTGGAAGCTTAACAGATGTGGGCCAAACCTTTCCAGATCAGGAAAAGTAATACTGTTACTTAAAGTCTGCTACCCATTYCCCCTCCCCCATATGTACAGACAATAATATGGTGTGGATGGAATGTTGACTAGTGGCAAACATTTCACAGAGTTTTTTTTTTTTTAATTATAATTATTTTGTTTCTGTCTTCAGCATTTTGACACTGTGCTAATATAGTTTATTCCGTACATGAAAAGATACTACTGTGTTGAAAGCTTTTCAGGAAATTTTGACAGTATTTTTGTACAAAACATTTTTTTGAGAAAATATTGTTAATTTATTCTATTTTAATTTGCCAATGTCAATAAAAAGTTAAGAAATGCTTTAGTTTTTCTAGAAGTCATTTACCAGTATTTTTCTTCAAAATTCTCCCCACTGTCCCTGGTAAGTAGAACATCTATCTGTACAACTGTGTTGGTGTTCAAAAAGACATTCCAAAATAGAAAGTACACTGCACCCATATATATGTCATGGTGAACTCGGTAGGTGAGCAGGATTTAAACATACTTAACAGCAYAAAGCCTCATACGTAACATTGTAATATGCCTGTCAGTGTGGTTTTATGAAAAACAAAGTTGCCAAGGTGCAGCTTTTTTTGTGACTTGCCAACATACTTGCTTTAAATGTAGTTGTCCAGAGTTATGATGCATAAAGTATTTATTATATTTATCTATTAAACTTGTAATTTTATAAATCCTCTTTCACTTATATAGTAGACTTTGTTCTTTTGTTATCTCACCTGGAAGGGCTATGTAAAAGAGACCTGTTTAAGTATTTGTAGCTGGGGAGGGAGGGCGGTGGGTTTTGTCCTGTGTCCTCCTTCGCTTGGTTTACCCAGGAGGCTGCTGCATCAGTCCCGATCTGCGTCACATCCAAGTTGACTGCACTTCATTTCTAGTGACTTAGAAGAAGGCAGTAACTAACGAGTATCCCTAAAAYATTCCACTGTGGGATATCTCAAACCTTGTTCTCCCAGAAATTGTTAGAGAACCTTGTAGTTCTGCCAGCTACAGCCACCGACACAAATTCATACAAATATTCCCTGAATATTTGTGAGGAAAAAATTACACCCTTAACAGGCAATTGACACCTTGTTCACTCCGTGCCAACTGTTGCAGTCTTTTCTTCCCCTCCCAGCCTTTGGCAAAGCTCCCATTTAAGTTATTACTTAGTAAGGACTGCAGGATCAGGACCCTAATAATACATGTAATCCCACTTAGCCACGCTTCTGAAGTTTAACACAGGAGTGACAGCGCTGCGCTTTCTCCTTGCTTACTTTTCCAGCCTTCTGTTCTGCATTTATTAGGCAGGAAAGCAGCATGGTGGATGTAGTTAAATTTTAAACCTGGGCATGTAAACAGGGGAGGGTATCGCCACACAATAGGAGTGTAAATAGCAGTGTTTTGAGTCAAGCTGGGAAATTAAACTGATTGCTATTGCTAAAATTGTCCCAGCTGGTGACAAAAGTGGTACTATATTCCTTCTTTTCCTTACGCAGACATAAACTAGCCAATTGGTTTTATGAATGAAAAGAAATAATACATGGATTAAAATACTGACAACACTAGAAATAAGGAAGTGTGCACAATCCAGGGACATGATCTCTGCAGTAGGTAATAGAACATGTTCTTAGAACATTTTCAGCACCAAGAATTAAAAAAAAAAAAAAAAAACCTCTTGTATTGCTCCAGCCAGTGCTTAGCAGTGCTTGCTTATGTTTTACAACAGTAAATTTAACATCAGATGGTAGTGAATCATAATTTATCATCTTACCAGTAACTTAAAGAATGTTTAGAATATAGCTGTCATTTTAAGAGCCTTTGCCCAGCTCACCACTATATAAATCCATTTTAAGGGTATTTGATCTGCACATGTTGCATTGCTCTCTTCTGCCCCAGCTTCGGAGGGCAATCTTTTTCTTTTTCGAATCAACTTCCAATAAAACAGACTATTAAACCATGTGCATACCAAATTGCAGAAATGTTTAAATCCTCCATGATCTCCTAAAACAAAAGGGAATCTTCTTCCTACGAGAAGCACTTTTGCTTCATAAAGTTGGTTAAACAACAGATTTTTCGTAGTTGAGACATCACTACTTAAGTCTGTCAGCATTAAATCCTTGCATATAAGCTTTTCCAAGAACAGGCAGTTTCACAGGCATACTGGTAGAGCCTATTTGTGTACAACTCCTTGTAAAACTCCTGAGAGCCACTGCCTCTAAACAACAGCAGCTACTGAAAGCCCTGGCTTTGAGCAAGGCATTGTCAAGGATTTTTTGGATTCCTTAAAAGCACACCCCAGGGAAATGTGCAAAACAATCACATTGCCTATATTGCCACTTAATTTCTAATGAAGAGCCACATCCCAGAGGATGCCACAACTATATATTTCCTTATTCATAATATCATCTACCAAGCAATATTGGGGCCGTGACCCTCATCTGCCTGCAGTGAACCCCCTGGCAACGGTCCCACTGGCTGCAGCTGAAGCAGTAATAGGCCTTCAAGCTGGGTCTATCTAGCCCCTATGCTGTTTATAAATATGTTAAAACAATTTATTATCTGAACCGAGTGATTAATGAAAAATGCACAATGACCTACTTTCCCCGGCTACTGCCAGATACTCGCGAGCTCCGCCGCAGTCTTGCGTCCTATTAAGTTGCTGCTAGCACAGGAAACTTGACCTCTGTACTCTGGCTGTTCCTCAAAAAAACTTCTACCACGGTCCACGAGCTCTGCTCTTCTTTAAGCCACCTCCATAAATAGCCACGCGGCTTCCCTGGGCCGGCAGATCAGCCCTAAGCCGCCGCGCAAACCGCGCTCCAGGCAGCGGGAGAGGCGCTGGCCG